AACAAAAAGATTTTATTCTGAAACAAAAAAAGCTTTATAATTGGATTATAAAATAAAGAAAATTTTGGTTATATATTTTTTAATTAATTATATAAGTAAAAAATGATAAAGATACTAAATGAATTAGAAATAATAAAGTTTTATAATAATTTAGTAGATTTTAATTATCTGCTTACTGGATATTTGCTTTTATAAAAGATTTAAAATTATCTTGACAAAAGCTTTTGCATAACAATGAATTATTAAAAAAATTTTAGTGATATATTATATAACTTAAAACTAAAAAATCTTTTAAAATGTTTAATATTTTTAATATAGATGAAATTTCAACATAATAGGAAATTTTACTACTAATTAAATAGATAAAAAATGATATAAATTTGTAATACTAAAAATAATAAAAATTAATTTATAATAGTTTTAACATATATTTCAATTAAATATTATATTTTTAATAATTTATTATAGTAGATTTATTTATTAATTTATTTTAATATTAATTTATATAGATAAAAAAAATTTGTTCCTATTTGTATTTTTAAAGAAAAACAATTTATATGATTAAATAAATTCTATTTGTTTAGTTTTAATAATTTGAATGGATAAATATAAATTTGATAAAAAGTTATATTGATTATATTAAAGATCTAACCAATAATATTTCAAAAATAATTGTATATAATTCTTTCAAAAGTTAGTTGAAAGAGTTTATTTAAACAAAAATTTTGGGATAATAGTTTTGACTTAGTAGTTATTCTTAATATTCTAATTAATTTATACTAACCACTTGATATTATAATTAATAAGTAATTTAAAAATCATTTTTTAACAAGAATAATTAAAAATGATATTGTAATTAAGAAAATACAATTAATTATAACCTTATAAAATTTATTTTAATATAAAAATTTATAAATAATTACAACTTATTACAACTAGCCAAAAATTTTAAAATTAGTTATAGTTTTATTTTTAAGAATGACATTTATTGATAGTAAAAGAGAAAAATAAAGGAATAATTGTAGCAGAAAATCTTTATTATACTAAAATGTCTAATATTTATAAATAAGTTAATAAAACTTGTAAATTTTAACCTCTATAAATAGATCAGATGATGAAAATAGTGAAGAAAAATTAATAAAATAATAATATCTTTAGTAATAAAGAAGTAGATGATAATAAGGTTTATGATAATAATATTAATGATAATAAGGTTGATTATGAAGAATAGTATTAGATTAGATAATTAGTATCTAATTATAAAATTTATTAAAAACACTTAATCATAATCATAAAGACTGTAAAAATGTTTTTTTTTTATATTTTGTTTAATTTTATTATTTTATATTATATTTTATGTTATAATAAAATATGTGATTATAATATTAATAAAAAAATTTTTTTTTAATTTTTTTTTATAATGTTAATTTAACATTTTTATATTTATTTATTTAAGTAATGCTTATTTTTGGATAATACTTATTTTTAAAATAGTATGATATTAATATTTTATAATAAAATTTATTATTTTTCTAAGTAAAATTAAAAAATCCTATTATTTAATAATTTTTTAAAAATAAATAAGTAATAAATTATTATAAAAATAATTAATTATTTAAATCACAATATTTACTATTTATTAATCTTAAAAATATGAAAATATTACTGTTTAATATAATTATGAAAAATTTATTAAATTAAATTATATTTCTGTAATTATTAGAAAATAAATTATTTTTAAAAGATTTAAAAATAATTTAACTAATATAATTTTTGATTTATTGATACTAAAAATATAAATATAATATTATTAAATATATAATAATTAAATAAATTTAATAAATTAAATTTCATTTTTTTGAGATTACTAAATATTAACATATCTTAATTTTTCTATAATTTTAATAAATAACTTTATATTAATCATTAAGTGATAATAGTTAGATATTTATAAAAATAATTCAAAAAATAATTTGTAGTAAATAAGCAGAAAAATTTGTCAACAAATTTTTTAATCAAAAAATTAGATTTATTAATTCTAAATTTTAATTAATTTAGAATATGAAATATTACATTTAGGTTACATAATATAAATATTTTATTTGCTATTTAAATTAATTATTTTATTTATCAGTTACTTGTAATTATTATAAATAAATTTTATTTAAAATAAAAATCAATGATTAGAAATTGTTTAAATAATAGTTTATATTTCATAATTATATTATTTTAATATAATAGAAATTTAAGTTTATTAAATTATTTTTTAAAAAAGCTATTTTTATAATTTAATTGAAGATTATCTTAAAAAACCTACAATATTTTTTTAATATAATTAAAAGAGATATGGGTTGTGATCTAAAAAATCAAGTTCTGAGAAATTTTTGACTAAAGTTAATATCTTATTACATTTTAATCTAAATGTAATAAAAATTAAAATGCAATTAAAATCTCAATTTTGATAAAAAATTCTCAAAACTTGATTTTCTTAGATTATAACCCTATATGGTAATTTATTGTTGTTGTAAAACTAATATATAAAAAGACAAATATGATTTTTAAATTATTAGTATAGAGAGTATTTAATGTATTTAATATTTATTATAATATTACTATTTAGTTTACTTGTCTGTATTTATTATAAAAATTATAAAAAGCGAAGATACTTTTAAATCTTTTTGATTAGTCTGTTTATTACTTATATAACACATTAGTTACTTTGTATTTCTACTATTTCTACTGTAAAGTATTTATTTAATTTATAACATATTTGATACATTTTTATAATATCCTTTTTGAAATGATCTTATATTTAGGAATATTACGCAATAAATGTAATTATCATCTATAAAATATGTTATTTATGCATTAAAAACTATTTACAAATATTAGATTATATAATATTAGTTTTATATATTAATAATTAGTATAAGAATTTATATTAAACAATATTGATTAAAAATTTTATGAATAAAATAATAAATATTTGATTGTATTAGATATTACGAATCATATAAAACTTTTATACAAGAGCTTTAAAATTTAAAATTTAGTCTCTTAAAATTAAAATATCATCTTAAAGTTAAAATGATTGATTAACATATTTAATATTAAAAGTATATGTAATTTTATAAAGTAAGACAAATTATAACAATACTAATATAAAGATGACATTTTTACAGTTAGAGAAGGTTAGAGATTTAATTAGAAAATATATTTTTTTATTTATTATCGTTATATCAAAATAAATAATTCACAAATTTTACATAAACCAATAAGATAAATAGTGGATTGCGGATAACTAAATATCAATATTGTACACGGATAAGAAGATCGGCAGTATTATTTATGAATGTTAAGTTCAGGAATAATGATGTTACTTGGATGAAAAAAAAACATGAAAGTATATTAATCATCTAAATGGAATCAAAACCATCAAACGATTTTTGTATAGGGTATAATATAATCTTTTGATAAATGCCAGAAAATTTTGAATGCAATAATTCTCTTATAAGAGTTTCTTTCACCTGAAAATATTACATTAAGTGATCAGGAAAATTTCGTTTCTAAAAAAACTTGACTCCTTTTACATTAAGCTCTTCTGTTGCTGAATTGTTATTGTCTTTCGAAATGTTTAAATGAAAAAAAATCTCGCATATAGTCAAAAGCATTGAATAATAATCGGAATTACAAAAAAGGCTGAATAATGCTTGGGCTATTACAAAATTAGTCAAATTAGTTATATTTGTACCAACCTTTATTAGGTAAGGAGTTAAATAGTTAAATTTGTAAAAAGTATTACAATATAAATTCGTAAATCATTTCATTTCGTTTATTTAAAGATTTAAAAATTGTAACCATATGTAAGATGTGCAAAAGATAAGTAGATAAAGGAAGGAGGTGATACGCGTAATTATTCAATTGTAAATCAAATTATCTTTTTTTTAATTGGTCAATTGATAATTTAACCAAAAAAACACTCTCATTTTTAAGGTTTTTAAGGGGAAAATTGGTAAAATCATTTCCTCATCAGGGTATTTATCCGTCATATGATCATGAAAGAAAGATATCAAAAACATGATAAAAAATCAAATTTGCCTTTTTTAACCTCACCAAAAAAATTTTGGATAAAAATTTTATTATACTTAATTTATCTATTCAAATAAATGGAGCAACGGCACAACTATTTTAATAGTGGTTTCAAAAATGTAAACGACATGATCAAAGCGTCGCAAAACAATGCGGTAAACGATACTGATTTTCTTGAATGGATAGAATACTCTCAATTAACCATCTTGGAAAAAATTAATAGAGGTAGTTTTGGTACTGTATATAAAGCTGTATGGCTTGATGGTTTGCCCAGGGATGCAACTGACGATGGTAGAATTTGGGATAGAACTAGTCAGTGTTATGTTGCTGTGAAATTTTTTAGTGATTATAAAGATTTTTTAAAAGAAGTAAGTAAATTATATATATATATATGTATTTGTAATAATTGAAATTTAGTTTAATTGTTGTAATTAATAATTTTCTTTCTTTTTTTCAAAAAAATGTATATTAGTTTACAAATATTTACAGGATGATAAAAAATTGTTCTGAAGAGGATAAGGAAATATCAAATATAGTCCGTTATTATGGTGCTACGTGTGATGATAACGAAAATGAATATGGTATTGTCATGGAAATTTATTCACAATCTTCTTTGTCGGATTATTTAACATCTAATTGGAGAAATATTTATTGGAACAAAAAATTACGAATCCTTCGAGATATTGCATATGGTCTTTATACACTGCATTATCGAGATCTTATTCATGGAGATTTGCACAGTGGAAATGTAATGATTGATGATAACAGATATGATTCAGAAATCGCATTTATTGGTGATCTAGGATTTTGTAGACCTGAAGAGAAAAAAATTAAAGATCTTGTTGGCTTAATTCCTTTTATGGCACCAGAAATCTTTAAAGATTCATCTTATAGCAAAAAAGCCGATATTTATAGTTTTGGGATTATTATGTATTATGTCTCAACTAACAGACAACCTTTCCATGATCGAGCTCATAATAATAAACTAGCCAGCGAAATTTTTAATGGGCTTAGACCAACGCTTTATCAAGACGATGAAATTCCAATGTGTTTTGAAACATTAATGCGTCATTGTTGGAGTTATGATATTAGAAGTAGACCCAATGCTTATACTTTGTATCAAAAATTTCAAAATTGGATTGACGGCGAAAAGTTCGAAGTGGTGCAATATGACGTCACCGAGCCATTAGATGAATCGGAATTCCATAGGAAAGCCATCTATACGAGTCAAACGTGGTATGTAAAAAAAAAAATTTCCCAAATAATTTAAGGATTTAGGGCATATTATAAGAAATTAATTCCATTCCTTTTTTGCTTTGTTTTTTTAAATAAATATAGGAGGTCACCAATAATATAAACCATTGAACATAGATATCAAAGGAATATATCCAAATAATATTTGCACTTTATCTTTTCGTCATTGCCATCACTTAAATATGTTTTTTTTAGTTATGTTTTTTTAGTTATATTAAATAATTAAGTTTTCGAATCAATTTTTTATTTAATAAAAGCTTTTCATAATAATAAATTATTTCGAGATGTAAATGACCGCATTTCGTAAATTCTATCCTAAAACATGCTGCAAGTTAACTAAAGTAATGTATAAATTATCCTTAAGAAACGTTAAAAATGTCTTCCACCTTTGGACATAAAAATTAGAAAATATATGATGCGGTTGGTATTTAAATAGTATTCTCGAAATTTAAATTAGTACTAAGCTTAAAGTTCCCGAAGCACCGTATCATATAATCAGCGAATTAGTATTGAAATCAACCAAATTAAAGTTATGTAAGGATAAAATTACCGTAATCAATAAAAAAAATTGTATCTTTTGTTCATTGAATTTGCATCGGTTATAAAATATCGAAATAATGAAATAATGAAATTTAGTTATTTTTAAAAATATAAATACAATATATTCAAATTGTTCTTTATGGATAATAAGGATTTTTTTCTTTGTTTTCAATATTTATACTTTCTCTAAAAGAATCTGTTTCGTCTCTAACATTTCCACTATTGCGATAATTATCAGATGATGATTCACTTTTATCAATAATATCGATATGACTTTGATTATGTTTATCATCTATATTAAGCAAATCGTTAGAAATCGTTTCATGTTCATAGTTCTTGACGCAAAGCGCGTGTTTAACATAATAAAGTCTTCCAATAATATCAACTAATAAACTCAAAGTAGATGATATAAGTGTTAATAACGGGATAATATCATAATGAACTACTTGATTAAAATAAATAATCTATAATTTTTTTAAAAAAAAGTGAAAAAAGAAAAAGAAAAATTAAATTTGATTTAATAAAGGTGAAGGAATGAGGGAAAAAAACCACCATTTACCTGAATAATCATTTGAGGAAGATCTTCAATTAAAACGTTGACGCAACCCCCCCAAAATATTTTATTCGACGCCGATTGAGAAAATTTAGCATTAAAAAATTCATATCCCCCAATTTTTGAATTAAGTATATTTAAAACTTCGATATCAGCTCCCGCTAATAATGTGAATATTGCCACAACCTGTGTATTGTTTTTAACCCAGTCTAAAAATTCCATATTATTATTTTCTTTTGATATAATTATAAATGCCAATCCTGTGTTCACAATGGATGGAACTACTACAGATATAATGCTTGAAGGACAAAACATTATATACGTGAATATTTCTAAAAGTAATATATATATATATGAAATAATTTAGATGAAAAATTTGTTGTTACCTTGGAATAAATATTTTATCAACTGCTTTTGCATCTATAGCAACAAAAAGAATATCCATAATACAGTCAAACATAATAAGACCAAATTGTAAAATTATTATATTTTTTGCCTAAATAAAAAAGATAAGTGCATAAGAATTATGATAACCAAATGGGTGATTCAATTAAATTAGTCATGAAACCCACCTGCATATTTCTTTGTTTAGCCCACAAGTAAAGTAAGATAAATAAGCATATGGCAATGAGTACTGCAAGAATCTGGCGATAATTTTCTTGCAAAAATTTGGCTATTTTACAAGTTGAAAATGTTGAATTAAAATCAATCATTCGTTTCATTGACGATCTTTAAATGATGAATGAATTTCTTACTAGAAGGTTTGTATCCAAAACTTTGATCTAAATAACTTGTAGATTCGCCATTTGCGATAGCGGTGTATGGCTTATTTTTAATCAAAGTGTTTAAATCTTTAACGGCTGAAGCAACTGAAATAATTTGTCTATTATCATCTTGTTCAATATTGATAGATAAAAAGAACTGTTTTGGAGAAGTTGAAGTGTCGGTTTCAAATTTTTCATTGGTAGTTACACGTCTTGGATCTATGGGAATCGCATCAGCCAATTCTTGCCTTAATTTTGCGTAAAAATCTTTGCGTCCGTCGTCATCAAGACTCTCAAAATAAACAGTTCCTTCCGGAGTCAATCGAACTCGTCCTGTGGTCCTACTTGAGCTCAATTCATTCCTTTCTTCTGGAACTATTTTGAAATAACTACTATCGTAAACAGTGTATGACATTATTTCGATAATTTTCATTTACAATATCACTTACGTGTTGTAAAATACCAAAGGTTTTTTTTTATTCCATATAGAGGTTCCTGGTAAGTTCGACTCTTTACAAAATTATTATTAATTAAAATATAGTATCTTCCACCAGGCTGATTAAATGTGCTCTTAATTATCTTAACATAAACTGTTGTTCCATCTTCGCTAAGATTTACGAATTCCTTGTTGTCTCCGGAAGTGATTTGACGTATAATTTCGCGATCAGGATTATCTTGAATAATTGTAATGTTACCAATTGATAAATCGACTGGTTCATAATATTTAATTGAAATAAATTCTGTGTCAAATGAAATTTCATCGCCAATTGATGGAGTTGTTGTTTCGACATGGAAATTGGAGTACCCTTGATCTAAAATTGGTAAGAGTTCGTTAAATTCGTGTCGCAACATGATGGATATTTATAACTTTTCATAAACTTATTTTTCAGCATGTGTAACGATCCTATGAAAAGATTTTCGCGTTTTGTGCCACTTTACCTTTTGAAAATTTATACAAATTAGTTGTGATCAAAGACCAACTTTGTCCAACCTCCGGTTGAGAAAGCACAAAAGTATTATTTGATAAAATTACATAAACATCATTAAAGTTTGTTTTGCTAGGATTGTCAAAATTCCAAGAATATTGTTCACCGCTGTCACCAATAATGTAACCATACATAGAACGTTGTGCGGCATCATTTGTTGTGGTTTGTTCCCTTATCCCCATTAATATATAACCTCCATATTTCAGAGCTCTAAGTTTATATTCGGTTACTCCCACTTGTGTCGCATTTAATGATTGAACGTTATATAATGTCCCCGATGAAAGAAAATCAATTCTAATAAAAAATGTGTTTGGAGCTGGTTGGTTGATAAAATTGCCAGTTAAAATACAAATTTGTCCGAATCCTACATAAGCGATATCGCAATTAAGCCCTGTAAAACTTAGGCCAGAAATTTGAGTTTGATAAATGACAACAGGTTGTCGGTTAAAGTTTTGTCCATATGTTAAGAACATGGCGTAGATTCCTCCCTGTGGAAGAAAAGGGTCATTCAAGATAGTGTTCGTGGCATTAGCATAAATGATTGCATATCCTCCTTCAATCGTTGCAACGGGTTTGACTACAAGATCTAAATAATTTGGGAGAATAACAATATCTTCCGTGAGGTTTTGAATTTCTCCACTATCAGTTCTATAAAAAAAAAAGGTTATATTTTAATTCATATTCAATTACTTTCATAATTATAAATTTGTGAGATAAGTTACATTACGAATTGCTGCAAGAGGGCATTAGTGGTGTTTGTTATAGGGCCGACACGAACGAATCCTTTTTCACGATTAACATTTAACTTAATCTTGGCTTTATTGGGTATCCATTTATTTTCGGCATCAACAAAAGAAGGCCCCAGTAACATTGTACTATAAATAGCGAGATAATGGTATACTTTATAAATAAATAAATAAATAAAAAGGTATTTATTTAATATAACTTAAATTTATTTATTCTTTTTTACCAACCTAAGAACCTTTCCACTTAAATCAACGACCTTGGCATATTCCATGTAAGTATAAACATTATTTTCGTCCTCAGCTTCAGTGAAAGTTACTAATAAAAGATTTGTCCTCATGGTATAAATTTTAATAGGGTTGTAAAGGAAGTAATTTACATCAATGATGCAATAATTAATAGGTTGAACTTTTAAATTAATAAGTACTGCCTTTGATTTCCCATCAGGATAAATTACGTGAAATGAAAATAGATCATCGACACAAATCTTCCCTTCAGTGGGGATTGAATTTCTACGAATTATATGAACAACTATCGTGTTATCGTCAAATTTATCCATCGCAAATACTCGGGGGAGATTGCCACCTTTAGTCAGAGTTTCATTAAATGTAAGTATATTTGTTTGTGATTTTACGGGCAATATCGTAAATAAAATAATTGATAAAAGAAAAGCATAATTATTAAAAAGATTTGTTAATTTCATTATGAAATATTTATCGTTATTTCTATCATCAAAAAAAAAAATGAAAAAAGAAATGAAATATAGCTGTGGAGTGACTTTTTATTCAATCATTTTTATTTCCATATCCAAACCAATACAAAAATAGAAGCTTGCATATTTTCATTAAAAATTCCACAGAGTTAATGTAAAAACCAGTTTTGGCTATTATTGTGTTACAATACAATTTTTTTCAGATAAGTAATATTTTGGCTATATCGATATCCTTGGGAAGAAACAAGATATCTCTGAATTTTCTGGGAATTAAGTATAGTATAACTTGTAGATAAAAAAAAAAAAAAAAAAGAATCCTGTCCCGCAACATGATTTTCATCACCGAGTGTCTCATTATAAAATGAATCCGATCAAAATTTTTGAAAAAAAAAAATTTCGACCATTCGTTTTGTGTCTATATCTTGCTTTAAAAAGAAGTTTTTATTTTAAATATATTTTTAAATTTTAAAGATAAGATAAATCATGAATATAATAAGAAAGCCCATTTGCTCTTTCAATTACAGCCTTCTTCCCTTAAACGTGTCTATACTTGCTGAATTAGCCGCATTTTAATTTGTCAAATTGTCATTATTACGCCATATAACGCGCGCGGTTAGTGCCCTTCAAAATATCATAGTTACACCACGAAGCATACTTTAATTTATGTTTGATAATGATAATGTAATGTTAAAAAGCGACAACCCCCTATATATATAA